TTGCTTCAAGGATTCTTTGAAGGGCTGGTTTTGTGGACATTTTTCTTTCAGGCTATTCATGTCATGGAAGATTTTTCTTTTCCCCTCAACTATAATAGACATTTTTTTCTGGGTATTCTGGGCTGGCATCTATTTTCATGTAGAACTGGAAATACCTTGGTCCAGGCTCTTCTGGCTTTCATAGTTTGCAGTGATAAGTCAGCTGTGATTCTGATGGGCTTTCCTTTGTATGTGACTTTTTTTTCTTTTGCTGCTTTCAGTGTTCTGTCTTTGTTCTGCACATTTAGTGTTTTTACTATGCTATGTCGTGGGGAGTTTCTTTTCTGATCCTGTCTATTTGGTGTTCTGTGTACTTCCTGTATTTGTATGGGGATGTCTTTCTTTAATTTTGGGAAATTCTCTCCTTTAATCCTGTTTGAGATCTGGTCAATATCATTAACCTGAAATTCTTCTCCTTCCTCTATGCCTGTGATACATAGATTTGGTCTTTTCATGGTGTCCCACATCTCTATTCATTTCTGCCCGAGTTTTCTTCAGTGTTTCTATCTCTTTTGTGAATTCATTCAGAACATTATCCATATCTTCTTTTAGCTCTTTTGTTTGTTCCTGTGTTCTTTAAATTCATTGAATTCCTTGATCATGTTAATGATTGTGTTTTTAAATTCAGTGTCCTGGATTATTCTAGGGGTTTCTCCTTGTAGAACTCTTCTACAGGATTGGTGGGGTTTGGTGGGGACAGTGTTTTGACTTTCCATTTTATTATTCTTTCATTGTGGTTTTGGCATGTGAATTTCTTTTGTTGTTTATGATTCTTATATGAGAATTAAGTTGAAGTATGCTTCTGTTTGAATTATCCAGTTACCTAGATCCTTTCTTTATTGGTTATGTAAAGCTGGTTGGTACAGGGTTCAGGTTCTCTCAGGTTTATTTTGGAGGGAACGGATGGCTTCAGATCAGCTATTCAGGATTGCCCACAGAAGCCCAATTCAAGTTCCAGTCAGGTACACTCAGGCTTCCTTCACCACATGGAGGCAGGATCTGGGGTCTCTCAGGCAGTCCCCTGTGCTCTCAGCCCCTATGCCAGAGGGAGGCCAGAACTCAGCAATCTCTGGCATTCTGCTGATATCAGAGCCTCTACACATATGGAGATCCAAACCCACGCTTTCTCTCTGTTTCTTTTTTTTTTAAATGACAGTCTTGGGGCTGGAGAGATGGCTCAGAGGTTAAGAGCACTCACTGCTCTTACAGAGGACTTGGGTTCCATTCCTAGCACCCACATGGCGGCTCCAAACCGTCCTTAACTCCAGTTCCTGGGGAATCCAAAGCCTCTTCTGACCTCCACTGCATTGTACAACATGGGTTCACTCACTTACATGCAGGCAATACACTCATATACATAAAATAAAAATAATAAATAAAATATTTTTTAAAAATACAGGATCTTACTCTCAGTCTAGTTTCAAAATGGATCCCACTTGCCTCAGCCTCCAAAGTCCTGAGATTACAGACATGGCCACTTCATTTGGTCTTTTTCAGCACCCTCCCCTCCTTTTTAATTAAAAAAATATTTTTAAATTTTATGTGTATGACATGTCTTCATGTATGTTAGGTGCACCTGTATGTGCAATGCCTGTGGAGGCCAGAAGAGGGCGTCAGAGCCCCTGGAACTGGAGTTTACAGACCCTTGTTAGCCACCCATGTGGGTGCTAGGAACTGAACTTGGGTCTTCTGCAAGAGCAGCCAATACTCTTAATCACTGGGCCATGTCTCCTTTCCCACCCTTTTTTTAATGTTACCAGAACCATGTTACTATTATCCCCCCTTAGAGATGAAGGCATCAAGGTATGGGAGACTAAGAAATGACTATGTTGCTGAATGTGGAGGCACATGCCTTTAATCCCAGCACTTGGGAGGCAGAGGCAGGCAGATCTATGTGCAGTCAGCATGGTTCATACATAGAGCTCTAGGCCAGCTGGGGCTATAGGAACACCTTGTCTCAAAAAAGAAAAGAAAAAAAAATGGCTATGCTATCACATGGCAGAGTTGAGAGGCTCCAGCACTCCCTGGAATCTTCTGAGAGGCTTCCCTTCACCCTAAGTGTCTATCTAGGTACAGCCTTGATGGAAGGTACAGTGTCCCTTCCAGGTGGCATTCCTCCTCCCTGTGGACCCTCTTCCAGTTGCTTTTTCCAATGTTGAGCACCTGTTTTTTATCACCTTAGCAGTCAATGAACCGCACAGAATTAGGTTGCTTTCTGTCTAACTAGCAATTCTGAGAAGCTTCTGTTGTAGAGATGTACTTGTTTATAGTGTGTCTGTCAGACAAAGTATGTTCACAATCCCTCACCACACGGTTTGACTCAGAAAGAAAATTTTTAGGAAATACAGCTGGTTTATGACTGATGGCTTTTATTTAACATATCTCATTTTTTCCTTAAAGTCTCTGTTTAGATAAAAATTACCAAGGAAGCTCTCTCCCTGCTGGCTAGCTTTCATAGTACTGGAAGGTGCTAATGAAGCTACTGGTGAAAAAAGGCATCAATGGTCTCACTTAGCACTGAACCCTGCACAATTTCAACCTGCTAGGCAAGATATGCCCACTGGTGCAGTAGTGAATGGCATGATTGTTACAGGGTAACTAATGCTTTCTGATTAGATTTGAGGACTGCTTCACAGGAGGGAATTTCATACCTTGAGCTATAATCCTGGTCAAAAGCCTGTGGCTGCATATGTCATGGGTCCAAGGTTAGAAGTTGCTATTATTTTCCTAAATGGTGATGTTGTTAACTTGCCTTCTAAATATTTCTGTTTATACCATAGGTTTGGGTTGGTCTCAACCTTGGTTAGAGAAGCTTCTTTTTGCAGTGGGTAGCAATTAATGCAGAAACTTGTAATTGGTCAAAATGCTGAAGGCTCAACCCTAAATGACACTTTATGAACACTTCCCCATCCTCCCCATTCCTCTTTGATGCCCACCTCCCCCAAAGTGCAAGGAACTTTGTGAAAGAGGAAACAAAGAATGTAAGAGCTAGAAGATGGGGAGGAGTGCTGTGAAATGCTGTCTTCTGGACATGACATGACCATTACACTCATGAACTCACAGCAGCTGTGGTTACCTGCATAAGACCTGCGCAAGATCAAGCCAACCCAAATTCTGGCATTGATGGAGGAGGTACTCTTCAGGCCCCACCCCTTAATGGGCTATTAGGAGTTGCTAGTTGCTAGGAGAATCATTCTTTTCCTTAAAAAAAGTTTTTATTACAAATCAGTTTATCTGGTCCAATTGTATGTCCTTAAACACCCAAAAGGGAAGTATAACCAAAGATCAAAGGGGCCAATATAATTTCATAACAGTATACATATATATAACTAAAAGTTACTTGACAAACAGCAAAGCCAAACAGGCGATACCTTCAGTCGAGTTGTTGGACAGGATGGATAAAGGCTCTTCCAGACAGTTCCAGGATACTAC